GGCCTGGATGGGGTAAGGTGAGATGACTGAGACCCCCAGCGAGCCCTCTGACTTAAGAGTTCTTTCTGATTTTATTACCCAGAGCAAATATGGGGAACTGAATCAGAGGAGATGGCTGCCAAGTATATTACGGGACATTAAACAACAGCTGATCAGCGTCAGACACAAATAAATGGCCCATAATCTAGTGCCAAGGACATGGATGGTTCCCAAGTGGCAGCCTGGCTGGTTTCCAGGGAGAGGAGTGGGGGGCTACACATCAGGCCACAAAATGGCTGATCTGGTTCCATCAACAGGGGTGACTCAGGAGTTGAATCACTGTCAACAGAAGATGACAGTGCTCAGACAGAGTCACAGCCTTCCACATGACCTCATCCTGCAGGGCTGGAATTGGGTCTTCTCACCATCCAGCCTCTGAGACCTGGACCCCAACATCACCTGGAGAACCCCTACCTGCCTGGGAAATCTTGTATTGGAAGAAGGAAGTCACATATTCTGTGTGGGCCCAGGGTAGGTGGGCTCACAGTGCCTCCACAGGTTTGTGAAGTGGGATTACCCCAGGAACAGGGTGCTCCCAATATACTCCATGCACCCAGCAGTTTAAACCCATCCCACTAGAGTACTCTTCAGCTTCCTTTAGCTTACATCTTTAGTCATCACGAAAGTGCAAGTATCAGCAAAAGAAAGATAAGTTGGTAAGTCATGCACTTACTATAAGGCGATCATCACTTTTCTGCTAGAGCTCTGGACATTGACAGCCTGAGGAGAAGGTAGGAGGCAATGGACAACAAAGAACTCACTGAGTTTCCAGAGGATATGAAGGCGCTCTGCAAGATTGTAACACCCAGTATCACGATAAGCAGATGGGGTCTCTCCTGGTGAAAGGGTTCCGGCAGATTCCGCAGCTCTCTCGCAAATCAGCTGTGACCCTGGGCAAGTTACTTAACCTCTCTGACCCATTTCCTCACCTGGAAAGTGAGTGATCCCACAGCCATCCCAGTGCACACTGCACTGTGTGGGAGATCCGCCCCTCCTTAAACATGAGCACCCCTGGGTGTGTGGCCTCACACTCTGTAAACTGCAACTCCTGAGTCACCCCGTAAATGTACTCTGACTATTCACAGACCCCCAGAGGAGCCCAGCCAGGGCCATTCAAATGCAGGCTTCATAGACTGACCTTTAGTTGACCCACAAACACATCAGCTTCAATGATAAGTAATTGTGGTTTTCAGCCACAGTGTTAGGTGGTTTACTACCTGGTAAACGGTTAAGACCATAAATCAAATTTAGGACTCCTGACCCTTTTAATAGTTGCCATGTACATTAGAAATAATTCTAATAGGGGCTGGGGATTTAGCTCAGTGGCATAAGTGCCTGCCTTGCAAGCAGGCAGTCGTGAGTTCGATCCCCGCTACAGATAAAAAAAAAAAAAAGAATTCTAAGATACATTTTATACTTATATCCTAAGCAAAATAAACTGAACAATTCTTATTTACTGGACCACTCAGGATCAACTCAATGAAAACCACTTCGTGAGCTGTAAGACTGTGATGCCTTCGATGGTTATCTACCGATAATTGCTACATACTCTTCTTTCTGAATCTCAGAATCATGTGCTCGTTTTTAAAATCACTTCTCCTATAATCAAGCCTATCAGCTGCCTTTTGTTATTATGGCCAAGAAGTCCATCTCAAGCAGCGACTCCTCCCTTCCCAATCTACTGTGCAATTCCTAATCCTCCATACTTCAAGACACCTGCTCTTGGAGCCTGTTAGAATGGGATTCAAAGTAAGAGTCAGCAGGCTTGGAGTAAGTCTGAGATAGTTTTCCGAATGGTAAGAGCATGCGCCTCAGTGCTGGGATTCCTAGCATGGGTGCTGGCTTTTGTAATGTTTTCTGCTCTCTTCTTAGTTCTCCTCTGGGACCCAGCAGTGGGACTTCCAGGTAGCACACACTGATTCAGGGAGGGGGGTGGAAAATAATCCTCCTGGATGGAAGGAAGTGGGTCTCACCTTGAAGGGGACTGTAACCCACAGGCTGCGAGAGCCCTTCTCCCATCGCAGCCACCTCCAGGGGCATGCAGCGCCTGTATGCTCACAGACTGTGGATGCCTCCAGAACACAGCCAAACCCTCCAGGCTGTGTCCCCTCACACTTAACCCAGCACCAGGCATCCAGCCGGTGCTTGCTAAGCTATGGTGGGCAGAATGAAAAGATGTTCCTGGTGACCCCATCTCAGTGTCTTTTAAAAGAATCTCTTTTAAAAGAATAAGAACTCACAAGCTTCTGAGTATACAATATTTCAAACCAAACTGCTACAAAATATTTTAGAAGGATTAAATTCATCCTGTGTGAGGAGGTAGCTCCATCTCAAGGCCTCACCATTTCTGAACTAGGTTCTGTTGAGGCCATGGTGATGAAGTAAAAAGGACAAATCCAAGTGACTCTACAGGAAAAAACAGATATTTTTGCTAAACTGAGTGTTAACTTAGAGATTCCAGCTTGTTTTACCCCATTGTTTGACCAAATGTCTGAGGATCACATCCCTGACCTGAAGATCTAGACTGGCAACTCATCAAAAGTTCATGTGGTTATGTGGCTATGTGAGTGGCTTATAGTACACCTCACCTTCCCCTGAACCCTGTGCCCTGAAGGCTGACCCCTCAGGGTCCACAGCAAGGGGCCCCACGCCTCTCGCGTCAGGTCAGGTTTGGCCAACAGGGGGCACTGTCAGTAGACGGATGGGACAGGAGGAGGTTATTTCTTCAAGGTATTTCTTCTCCATTCCTCCAGCCCTGGGCTCCTCTGCAACCAACCCTCCTGCTTGGTGGCTTCTCCTTCACAGCTCCAAATCTCCCAGGGATCCATCTTCCTTTTTCCTTCCTCCCGCCCTTCCGAGCACAGGATGGTAAAGGCTTCCTGAGGCGCTAAACTAGAGCTGCCTTACTTCTGCTGGTTTGTTCCCTTAATCCCGCCACATCCCTGAAAATGCTCCCTGCATTCAGATCTTTTCATCTGAGCACAAGCTGTGAAACTCCTTCCCTAAAGCTGTCTATACTGAGGCAGGGTTCTCACCAGAGTAAATTCAGAGATCCCTTTCTCTCCAGCTTTTAGAACTCCCCGGGCACTTTGGCTCTATCTAGACCAAATAATACAAGATTATTGGTGAATTACAATCTACAGATGTGAAAAAATTGTTTTGGGTTGGGGACTGAACCCAACAGTGCTTTGCCACTGAGCTACTTCTCTAGCTTTTTTGAAAACAATTGTTTGACTTTTGAGACAGGGTTTCACTAGGTGGCCCAGGCTGGCTTCAAATCTGGGATTCTCCTGCACCAGCCTCCTGAGGGACTGGGATTACAGGCATATGCCACCACACCTGAGTGAGAAAAGTTTGTATTTTTTTTCATTTACCAGATAATTGAGGAACACCTATTTTGTGCCAGCACTATTCTGACTCTGGGAAACAGAGCAAATGTACAGGAGAGACCCAGTCCCTGCCCACATGGTGCTTACAGCCCATCGCCCTCTGTCTCCTCAGGGTCCGAGAGCCCGCCAGAAGCAGGGGCGGAACCAGAAGACTGAGTTTCCTTAGTTCCCAAGTCTGAAGTCCTCAGCAGTCCAAACTAGATGAAGAACCATTAAAGCAGATCAATTAACTATCAATCCTCCCTTTTGAATAAACGATAATGACCTGTCCAGTTCCCAAAGCAGCCTGGCACTCTCAGCCTGAGTGTGTGAGGGCATGTGGACACACGCTTCAGTGACATCACCACTCAGCTTTCCCGTCTGCCCCCATGACTGGCCGGTATCCCCTCTAGATCCTCCCTTCTCCTCTGCTCTGCTCACACTTTTATAATTAGCCTCACACTGGTCCTCAGTCACTGCTCTGGGGCTCACGGCCCTTGGCAGCTCCACTTGCCAACGAGCTGTTTTTATGAATGGACAGCAGCAGGGACTATGTTCAGAGACACAGCCCCTTGCCTGCGTTTCTGGCTTCCCTGATTCACAGGCAAGGTCAGCGAAAGTTCTGGCTCAGCTGAGGTGCTCCGGATCAGGCTGGGAGGCGTGAGGGACAGGAGAGCAGGGGCAGCTGAGGTGAAATGGGCAGGGCACAGGCAGCAAGGGCTGGGCTGCCTGCTTCCCTCACACCCTCTGAAGACATTTGAGTTTCCTCAGAAAGGTTTAAAAAAGAAGCCACAACAGTAACCCAATACTTCCCCTGCTCCAGATCAGGCAGGACAAGGGTAACAGTCTGATGCCCTCAGAAAAGGCTGTCAGGCCGGCAGACCCGCCCCTTGCCCAGGCTCCCAGCCCCACACTCAGACACAGCCAGCTCTGGCCATGCAATCCCTCTGCAACCCCTCTGCTTCTCCCAGGAAAGCCCCCACCCTCCCAGGATCTCCAGATGCCTTGTCTGGAGGCTTGTCTGAGGCTGAAGGGACATCTCGGTCGGGAAGGAAGCATGACAGGAAAGCAGATAGGGCTCGAGAACCACAAAGCCCAGCCCCGAGGCTGCAGAGGGCCCGTGGCCCCCACCACAGTCAGCTAGATCCTCTTGGCCTTCAAGAAATCGTCCCGGTCAGGCTCGGGGTGGAACTATGTTTACTGGGTAACATCACCTTTAGGTCAAGCCGCCTGGGGAGGGCAGAGAGATATTTATAGAAACATCTGGGATGCACTTCCCTTTCACCTGAAATTCTCTATCTCTTTTTATTTCCTCCAAATTTTGACCAAAATGAAATCATGCAGCAAATGCGGAGAAGAGACAGGGAAAGCAGAAACAATATTTTAGAGACTCTAGAGGAGGAGCCGTTTGAACAAAGACAAGCTCAGGTGGCAGGAAGTGGTCAGGGTGGCCTCGCTCTCCCAGTCTCTGTCCACCAAGAATGGAACAACTAAAATATCAGGACACATTGCCAAACAACATGCCTTCCTCCCCTGCTCCCCGACAGACGACAGACGGCTGCAGCTGCAAGGAGAGCTGTTGCCACCACTTACCTGCTGGGATCGGGAGGACGCTGTTGATAAAAGTCGGCTGAGACAAAACAGAGCGGAAGAAAAGCTGAAGATAAATTCCCAGAGTCATCGGATTCAGGACAACCATGCTGGCCAGATCTGGCAAGTGTCAAGTCCGGGAGGCTGGGCTGCTGCGGAGCCTTGCTTATCTCTGCTCTGTCTCCAAAGCTGTTTGTGTTCTCTCTCTCCCTCTCCCGGCCTCCCCTCCCTCTCTCATGCCTTTGCCCAGAAAGAATGCCAACCATTTCCCATTAAACCTTCTTCGTACTACACAGAGTTATATTTATCAGAAGCACTGGATCAAATGCCCACATTAAAATGAAGATGTCAGAATTCTCTTTGCTGGATACTGAGGTAAGTGGCTGTTGAAGCAGCAATGGAAAAGCAGCCAAGTCTCACATGTGCACTAGCTGTCCTCAAAAGCAGACGGGACTGCTAACTAACTGATCACCTGCTGTCATCTACCAGTCTAGAGCTGAAGGGTCCCACGGCAGCACAGAACCGACTCTCCTGAATCAAACAGAACTCCGTGGAGCCGAACCCCTCTGCCTGTGGCAGTTTTACCTACTGGGTGCCATAAGTAAAGCTGACCTTGAATTATTTCTTTCATCATCCAATGAAAGAAGAGGAGCGTATATTTCCAAACAATTTTCCTTATGAAAAAAAAATTGCTCTATTTAGAAGGTGTGTGTGTGTGTGTGTGTGTGTGTGTGTGTGTGTGTGTTACTGGGGACTGAACCTAGGGGCACCCTACCGGTGAGCTACACCCCTAGCCCTTTATTAATTTTTACCTTGAGACAAGATCTTGCTAAATTGCCCAGACTGGCTGAAACTTGTGGCCCTCCTGCCTCAGACACCTGAGTAGCTGAGATTACCCACCTGGCCAGAAGCTGCAAACTTTAGTTCTATGCAAAGCAAATATAAACGAAAACCATAAATGGGTAGAAAAGCGAATAGTTATTAAACTATAGAATCACTAACCTGAGCTTTGACTAGACAATATTCTTCAAATAAAAATTATTACATCCTTAAATGAACACCCTCTATGGGTTTATAAAGGTGATTTTAGAGATCCCTACAATTACTAAACTAATTAATAATCCACAGAGTTGTTCAGTCTGCTTTAACTTACATAACACATCCCCAGTGCATCACAAGAGTTAATTCAGAAATAGTCTGGAAGTTTTTGGGCCCTGATGTGGACAATCTTGAGAAAAGAGCAGTGATGTTCACGCTGGGGAGGGTGGAGCTGGCGTAGGCAGGATGCGCATTCATACTCTAACGCTCCAGCGCCAGACTTGGGCTTAACTCAGATCTGAGTGGTGGTGGACATATTCCTTAACCTTTCTAAGTCTCAATTTTCCTATTTAAAAAAAAAAAACCACAACAACAAAAGCGGAGAGCCTGTTCCCCTTACAAGTTTCGGGAGAGGTTATATGAGGTAACACAGGATGACTCACACACGAATTAGAACTTGGAACCGGAACTGGAGATACCACAAATGAAGTGGAAGGAATTACAGTGGATGGGATGCAAAGATGGCCACAAGAACCCCTCATATCCCCAGCAGAGCATGCCTCTCTGCCCAGCAGAAAGTGGAGTCTATTTCCACATCCTCAAATCTGGGCAGGCCCTATGGGACTGAAGGGATGGCGTGTCATTTCTAGCCTACAACTTAAAAGGCGTGGAAGCTTCTGCTCTTGCTTTTTCTTGGAAACCAGCTGCCACATGAAACAAAATTTAGACTACTAAAGAGGCCACAAAGAGGGATGCCATCAGCTTCTCACTGTTCTGACCTCCCCTGACAAGGCACTAACATGTTGGGTGAGACAGTTTGGGATACTGAACCTTTTCACCTCTCCAGATGATGGCAGCCAGTGACCCCAGCAGAAACCAGATGAAGAGCTTCTCGAGGTGCAGCTTAGATTGCAGAATCATAAAGAAATCAAATGACTGCTGTGTGAAACCTTTAAGTATTAGGTGATTTGTTATGCAGCAATAGACAACTAATACAGAGTTGGTTTTTTTAAAAAGCATCAAGAATATACTTGGGGTACATTAAAATATATGGACAACTTAAAGGCGGTGCCCCATTTACTGCCCCCAAAACATGTAGCAGAAGAAGCTATGATTATCAGCCAAACCCAATCAGGACAGTCTCAGGCTCTTGGAACGAACAGCCCCATCTGTGGGTTTTGCTGGCCTGGAGAAGATACAGACTACCTGAGAGAAAGGTAATTCCTGCATACTTTGCTGTCTGAACCCAAATTTTCAGCATCCAGCTTAGATTCCCCCTCCACAAATCCTGCATGCATGTTTCCTTTTCTCAGCAGAGTTTACCACTAATTGTACACTTGGCCCAAATAAGTCAACAGGTTCCACCTATGACATCTTCCAATACTGTTTTTCACCTCCTCAAGCCAGGTGTGGTGGTGCACACCTGTAAGCTAAGCACTTGGGAGGCTGAGGCAGAAGGATTGCCACAAGTTCAAGGCCAGCCTAGGCTACACAGGAAGCTCAAGGTCAGTCTGGACTACATGGAGAGACTATGTCTCAAATGAACAAATAAACAATACCCCTGCCCGACAAACCTCCTTGTGTTGCTATTTAGCTTGTGTTAATATCACTGAAGATGAGGGAATGTCCGCAGCCCTGGGTTCTCTGGAGGCCCCCAGAACAGTCTTGGTCATCTAACAAATCCTTAACAGTGTCAGTTAATTTGATGGAATCAGATCACTGGATAAGATGAAAAAGAAACAACAGTAGAAAAAGTATGTAAGTTTAACATTGTAGACTTGCATTTTCCTGGCCTTTGCATGTACACCATGCACATTGCTAGCCTAGGCTGGGGCCTGGCATGAGGAGAAGCCTCAATTCTGTTAACGGTTGGTGCTGCAGCCCCCACAGCAGGTTTACAGGGCAGGGAATGAGAGGGTTGGGACCCTCTCTCTTATAGGGAGGCAAACTGTGTACACTCAGGCCCCTGCAGAGCAAATCACTGCTGATACCAAGTTGCTACAGGAGTTTATCCTCTTTGGGGAGGCCTTGCAAGTGAGGTTTTATAAGACCCCAATATTTATTAAATAATTCTTAGTACATTTCCATTTCCTCATGTGTTTTATGAATCCATTTCTTATGAGGTTACCGTAACTGATCAAGGCAGTAATTACCATCTTTCTTCAAACCTCCTGGAAGAGCTCTGACTCTTTCAGAATCTAATAATGCAGGCTATTAGATTTGTCCAGGAGGAAATTATGTGATATTTGAGAAAGGCTCACACCAATAAGCCAATCAATGTCAGAGCTTTCCCTTTCAGACCTCTTAGTGGGAGTGCATTCTGGAGAAAAATTCCTTGGTTCTCTTAAAGTTAAAATGTATGTTTCATTTTCCCAGAAATTCCACAGGAATACTCATTTACTGTTCAGTGGCTTATGTACCAGGGTATACATTACTACCTCTGCTTGGAAATAACCTCACTGTTGATAAACATAAGATCGGTGGAATAATTCTTGGGAAAGTCAGTCGGTGGAATATTATATCATAAAAAATAAGACAGGCTTTGCAACAAATGATCTGAAAAACTTGGATTCCAGAGACAAAAACAAGCAGAAATGAGGTTAGCTTTTACTTTGTTCCATGTATAAAACTAGCTCAAAGTGAAAGCTAATGTAAGAGTTAAACTATTAAACTTCTACACAAAATCAGGAGAAAATCTTACTGAACTTGTTATAGGCTAAGATTTCTTCATTGGCTACTGAAAGCATAAATCTTTTTTTTAAAGGTTAAAATAGACTTCATAAAAACTTTAAAACCTTTGCTCTTCAAAACATAATGTTAAATTGAAAATCCAAACCAAAAAACTAGAAAAAATATTTGCAAAATACATCTGATTGAAGACTTGTACCTATAATAAAATGCTTTTTACAACTCAATAATAATAAGAAAAACAGACCCTGCCCCTCTCTTGAGGCAGCGGTAGCTATCTGGGCCAGGAAGAGAACTAAGAAGCCAACACTCACCCTCCTGTGGGAGACAAGAGCCCCTACCTCGGCAGGCAACTGGCTGGTTTGGAGAAACATAGGCTGGGATGATAGCAACTGAGATACAAAAACAACTTAATGCTTGTATTGTTTGATTGACTTTGCAGGCCTAAAGCTGGTAGTCTGAGCACATGTTTAGAGGATAATAATATGCAATATAGCAATTATGGGGGATTTCCTTCTGCTTTGTTTTTGAAATCCAATTTTGTTCTGTTTTGCTTTGCTTTGTTTTATTCCCTTCAAAATAAAAAATAAGACGAGAATAGATACTTGACCAAGGAAGATACATAAACAACAAGCACTTGAAAAGATCCTCACATCATTGGTCATCAGAGAAATGTAAACTAAAACCACAGTGAAATACCACGATACACCTATGAGAATGGCTATAAGTAAGAGGAGTGGAAGTACCAAGCATTGAGGAGCAACTGGAACTTCCACACTTTGCTAAGAGAAGGCAAAGTGGAGTGACCACTTGAAAAATTATTCGGCACTTTCTTATAAAGTTAAATATACACGTATGATACAACCTGACAACCCTACTCTCCATCATTTATCCAAGTGAAAGGAAGCATTCATCCACACAGCAACATGTACATGTTAATAGTTATGTTATTGTAATTGCTAAAACCAAAACCAACTCAAATGGCCATTAGCGCTTAAACAAGTTGTATACATGCATACAATGCAAATAACCTGGCCCAAAAAATGAATTAGCAAGACAAATGACATGGAAGAATCTCAAGTGCATTACACTGAATGCAAGTTTCTAGAACAATTGGTTACAAACTGTGTATTGTCATTTATATGATCACATAGTTTGGAATTTAAGTGTCCCTCAAAAGTTCACGTGTTAAAGGCTTAGTCCTTGCTGATAGTATGTTTGGAAGCTGGTGGAATCTTTAAAGATCAGGAGTGCTGGCAGTGAGTTCACTGGAGGTATGCCTTACATGACATATTCTGTCCCTGGTTCGCCTCCCTCTCTCTGCCCCCTTTCTTCTTTCTGGTTGCTCTGATGTGAGCTGATTTGCTTTGCCACCCGCTCTCCACTGTGATGCTCTGCCTCACCATAGGCCCAAAACCAATGGAACCAGGTGACCATGGGCTAAAAAATGAGCCAAATTAAATCTTTTCCTCTGTGATACTTAACTGATTGTGTCAACCTGAGTAAGAAACACCTACTTAAATTAGATCAGCACAATTCCAGGTCTGGCTGAGATTTATGGAGACTTGATGGGATTTACTGGTGTGACTGACAGCAACCAATGGGCTTGCCTCCTACATGGTATGACAGGGAAATAAGGAAGGAAGGTTGCTCCAGTCTTCAATTTCACTTTGGATATTGTCTCCTGGCTCCCAGTTCAGACCATTCAGCCTCCTGATGTAGTCTCACATGGGACATTACAGTGAGCTCCAGGCCTTCAACCGGATCCTTCAAATCTCAGGTGCACAGACAAACCTTTTGGACTCTTCCATACCTGACTGTGTAGGTGGCCACTGTAAGCCAATCTTGTAAATTCTTATAT